ACACCGATATCTTCCTTTCTCTTAGTCTGGGCCCTGCGTCTTTCCCCGGATCCAACCCCCTGATCCCTGACCTTCCGAACCTGCCCATCCTGCAAAGTGTAGCTAGAATCCCACTCTCTTCCCAAGCTTGGTAACCCCGGGTGTGGCGGTATTCTCAGAAGAGCCCTGATGGTGTGGAAGTGCATTCTCCTCCACAAAGAGAATCTATTAAATGTTTAAATAAATTTCACAGTCTGCATGCATTGGTCAGGCTTTCCAGATAATTACCTTTGCAAACGAGAGAGAAAACGCCCTGTCAGACCATGTATCCCCATTTATGATTTGGAAAATGTGGTCACTTTATCCCTGAAGACTTCCCTCCCTAGTCATTCCAGTTCCATACCTGGTATCCCTGATTCGATGCTTAGCTCCCCTAGAGCAGGGATTATGGCTGAATAAATATGTCAAAATTCCAAATCTTTTTAAGTTGGGGGGGGGGGGGGGCGGAGTCCAGAAGTTTGAAGAAAATGGAAATATATCCAAAACATGTTTTTGCACTCTTCACAAATACAAAATCACTCTTTTTAGTGTGTCAGAAAAATGTACTGGTCTAGGCTCCAGTTTAACACAAATTGATGTGACTGAATATAGCAGAAATAGTGAAATGGGTAGAAATTTGGCCTTTTAGTTTGATTTGTCAGGTGCCAGCTGAATGAACTTTAACAGTTTCTCTGGAGATTTGCTTTCCTCCTGTTTATTTTGGATTTGGGGATAATATATATACCTATCCATCTTATAAGATGATTGTGGTGAAAATAAAATATGAAATAAAGAGTTAAGTGGGTGTGTGTTGTTGTTTTTCAATTTTAAGTATTTTTTTGTTCAGGAAATAATCCTCAATAACAATTCTAAAGAAAGTTACTTTTAAATGGTTTAAATTTTGTTACTAACAAGCTTCAAGATGCTGAGTGACTACTTAAAAAATTAGGCAGTTCTGAATTTTTTCCACTTTGGGATCAGGGAGGCCAGTGTCACCCAATGTGACCCTCAGCAAGTAACCTAGCAAAACCTGTAGGGTGAGTCAGGCAGCAGCTAGGATTTCGACCCTATCGCTTACACATGCCATCATCTCAACCACTCTGACCATCGGTCTCCTCATCAGTAAAATATGAATAATAGTCATAACATGTACTGAATGCTTTCTGTGGGCTGTGTACTACTTCAAGCACGTTGCATGTATTAAGTCATTTAATCCTGACAGCTCCATGAGAGGACTATTAATATCTCCATTTTATGAATGAGGAAACTGAAGCACCGAGAAGTTAAGACATTTGTCTAAGGCTGCCCAGCTAGTACGTGGTGGAGCCCAGGCTGAATCCCAAGCAATGTGACTCCAGAATGCTGGACTGGATGGCCCCTTCCTGTGGGGTTCTTGAAGGATTAAATGAAATAGTGCACATAAAGCACTCGGCGTGTGGCCTGGGGCACAGCTCTTAAAAGTATCCCTTTATCTTAAGGTATAAGTGTGATGATGTCTCTATGCCGGCATCCCAGTTCCTGGCACAAAGGAGTACTCTAGAAATTGATTCCCTTCCCCATTGTCATTATGTGAAAACAGAGAACATGTTCCACAGTGCAGGCAGCCATGTAAAAATGCTCATTTGTGCATGTTATTTTATCCTTTGGATGAGAGGTGGGTACAGGGAATTCCTAAGAATCTGTTGAATACACCTTTGCTACAAGTAAATTTGTGTCTCTACTCTCATTTACTTTTTTTCTTATACTTCTTTTTTTATTGCCTCTATGTTCTTCTTAAGCAAGGGTGGGGAACATCTGGCCCGAGGGCCAAGTAAGGCCTGTGAAGTCATTTGGTCTGGCCCTGCCAAGGCATTAGGGGTGAATTAAATGTTTGACCAAATGTCACAGGCTAATTTTTAAGTTGATAATTTTGTATGGCCCGAAAATGATGTTAGAAATATACAAATGGCCTTGGGCAGAAAAAAAGGTTCCCCACTCCTGTTCTAAAGAAAGGGTTTCCCTGGATTGGGAAAAGCCTCAGCCTAATGCTGTGGAAAGTGGAATTGGCATGAAATGTTGCCAGGACTTGTCAGTTTCTGAAGGCTCTAACTTTCAGGCAGTTGCCTGGAGTAGCATCCAACTCCTGCAAAGCCCAGGGTCTGGCAGGGTGTCCTCTATGGCTAAAATTTTCCCGGGTCTCCACACTGGGTTGGGCTTCGGGTTCACTCCACTCACGCATGCTCCCCTAATCTGTTCCCACATCGTTCATACAATTACTTCTTCTCGGCTATGCCCACCCACCACCCCAGACATACCTGTTCCTCTGGACCCTCTCCACACAAGATGCAATGCACAGACCCCATCTTTGCCCCCTCCCCCCAGAAAACAGTTATTCTTTCTTTCATTCTGTTTCCACATAGGTAATGAGTCTTACGTGCCAGGCACTGTGCTAGGTACCGGGGCATCCTTTGGCCACAAAAACTCACATACGCATCTGTTTGTCCACACACAGACATTACAGGAAGGTACCTGCACACCCCTTATATATATAACCACATGTAACCCCCATATATGCAGAGGGTACGTACACATACCTGTAAAAACACTCTCCATTCAGCCCCTCACATCATTGGCCGATGTTTAGAATGCTCTTTGATTTTGCTTCTTCCATTTTGTGTTTGCTTACCTATCGTCTTAATGGCAGACTGAACCTAAAGATGGTAAGGTGTGAGGCTTGTGAAATAGTCCAGTCTGGTCACTCCAGCAGTTTCTGGCATGTTATATTTATCTTCAAAACAGATCTCACCTACCTTCCCTTTTCCAGGGAAAAGCTCCTTATTTCTCCCAGTCCTGGGAACATGCTGGTTGCAGTCATGGGTGGGAGAAGTGACCTGGGGCAGGTGTGGGTAGGCAGCAGTGGTCTTAGGTCAGCTTGCTCAGTTACTTAGACTGTGGACTGTGGACCCTAATCAAGGGGAGAGCAAGGGAGAGGGAGGAAATGAACTGCATTGCCCTACTCATCGGGCCCTGAAATCAGCCCCTTCTGACAGGAAAACCCAGAGCAGGCGGCTAAGCCGCTGAATCCCACGTCTTCCCTGGCCTAGCAGTCCAACCTCCCACCAACTCCGAGGACCCAGGTCTTGTCCTTTTAAGAAACATGCTCTCACCTGGCCAGCATGGCTGGCTGGTTGAGCATCAACCTATGAACTAGGAGGTCATGGTTCGATCCCTGGTGTGGGGCATGCAGGAGGCAGCCGATGAATGAGTCTCTCTCATCATTGATGTTTCTGTCACTCTCCCCATCTCCCTTCCTCTCTGAAATCAATAAAAAAATATATATTTTTAAAGAAACATGCTCTCAAGTGTGTGTGTGGGGGGGGGGGGGCTGGGATGGGGACCTCTGCTCTGAAGGGCACAGGCTTGGGGAGACATGGACAGGTTCAGGTTTCTTTCTTTTTTTAAATATATTTTATTGATTTTTTTTACAGAGAGGAAGGGAGAGGGATAGAGAGTTAGAAACATCGATGAGAGAGAAACATCGATCAGCTGCCTCCCGCACACTCCCCACTGGGGATGTGCCCGCAACCAAGGTACATGCCCTTGACCGGAATCGAACCTGGGACCCTTCAGTCCGCAGGCCGACGCTCTATCCACTGAGCCAACCCGGTTAGGGCTCAGGTTTCTTTAAAGACAAGAATAGGCAGGAGGCCCAGGCTATGCTATGGGGGCACCACTTCCTGTAGAAGCCAAGGGAGATGCCATCCTTACATTCAGGGCAGACCTTTCAGCTCCCTCCACCAGAGCCTTCAGGCACCAAGTGGGCAGCTGTGTGCCTGAGGGCGTGGATCAAAGGCCTCTGTGAGAGACTGGGTTAGTTTTCAATAACTCCTATTAATGGGCTACTGCCACAGAAGCAGGGAGAATGACACTTTCAGGGAAGTGTTTCTGCAAGTTTGCCATTATACTACAGCAGGCCTTAGTTTCATAGTCAACTGAGGGAACAGGTCATCTTTGACACTGGGAGGCTAGAAGGAGGAAGCTTGAAAAGAAGACAGGGAGGGGTAAGGAGATGCAATTATAAATTTTCAACCTATCCCCAAGAAATTTAAAAATTGGCACATGGGAATGAGAGCAGACAGGAGGAATGAATAGGTGGAGCACATGTGAAACTATTCTGAATGACACTATAATGGTGGGTACAGGTCATTATACATTTGTCCAAACCCACAGAATGTACAACACTAAGAGTGAACCCTAATGTAAGTTATGAACTTTGGGTGACTATGACGGGTCAGTGTGGGTTCATCAATTGTAACAAATGTATTACTCTGTGGGGGTGTTGATAGTGAAGGAAGCTATGCATGTTGGGGGGAGGAGTATATAGGCAATCTCTTGCCTTACTCTCAATTTTGCTGTGAACCTAAAACTCTAAAAAACAGTCTTAATGAAAATTAGTACACTCTACTAGATTTAACGGAAGATAAAGAGATTGAACTGGTTGGATACAATCAAAGTACAATGTGTTAAAGAGAGATTGGAACTTTATTGAGACTTTCTACCTGATGAAATCAGAATGGAAAGAACACTGGAAAGGTTCCACTTTGGAGAGAAACAGCTACTGTTCAGGCACAAATACTCACAAATACTCCTCTTGAGGGATCTCTGGATCCTAAATGCCCCCCAGCCTTCAACCCACCCCCCTACCCCCATCCCCCATAAAAGTCAGAATTCTGCTTAAAATCCACCTCCACAGAGTGAGGCACAAAATAGCTCTTAAAGTCCAAGCTGACTGATAGACAAGCCTGCGGGCAGTTAGAGAAAAGGTAAGTCAAGGAGTGAGCATAGGATTAGGAATAAGAAAAGAAAAACGGATGGAGAGAAGAAAGGGGGGGATCACACTGACAATGTCACCACCCTGAAAATATAAATATTGTATGAATGTATTAGCCTCATTCCACCTTCTTCCCCCAAAGCAATGGTGGTAGTAGCTATGACAATGCCCATATAATTCTGCATATTTTATTTCCCCTACTGCACTGAGAAACACAGATATGCCACGAGGAGCGCCAGTGCATTAGGGGCATCAAGGAGCAAGGTGGGAGGGCAGACTCTCCAGAGGGTAAATGACAGAGAGATGAGGCAAGGGTTGGTTCTTGGTGAGAAGAAAAGCAGCTCATCAGGCCCTGTCACCAGGCTCCTTGGACACCCCTAGGCGATCCTTTTTCTTCTCTGGTTGGCTCTGTCCTTAGAAACAATGTCCCGAAGGCTGTGGGGCCTCTGGCTTTCTTGAGGGAGGTTCCAGGTCCTCCACAAAGCCAAAGGAAGCAGCCTCTGTTGCAGCCGCACCAGAGTGCTACTAATTCTGAGGAACAGGAATTCCGAAGTTGCAGTTCTCCGCATGGACCTAATGTGATTGCCAATTGACTTCCACTGCCTATCCTCAGTGCCGCTCTGCTCCCTCTGCCTTCATCTTCACTTTCCTTCTGCTCCAGGATGACTTCCTGGTGCTGGCAGGTCCTGACCCATGCCTCCTGGCAAAGCTCCCAAGAGAGGCTGGCTCACTCGGCAGGAGCCCCTCAGGCAGCCCTGGGCCCAGTCTCCAGGATTTGCACAGACTGTTCCCTTACCCGCCTTTTGTCAAATGGCTCCTTCCCTCCAGGGTCCTTCCCCCCATCCTCAGTCCCTCGCTGCCCTTCTGGGTGGCACACCAGCCAGGCAGAACTCTCACAAGTTCTTTCGCTATGCCCTCTGGCATCTGTTATCTCCCTAATCTCTCTTGGACAACATAATACACACATATCCACACTTATTGGTATCTGAAGGCCCAGGCTTTCCTGCGGTACGTCCAGTGGGAATCAGCATCAAGTTCAGGTGGAAAACTGAAGGTAGAGCCTTAGTTGCCACTGACATTGATGACTGGTGCTGGTTCTGACTCCTGTGAGTTTTGAGTGTTAGCACATCAGGGAATGAGAAGAAGGGAAAGGGAAAGCCATGGCGATGAAAATCAGGAAGGAACGACCCTTCTGCAGAGCGTCTCCACAGAGCAGTTGTGGAAACAGCCTCCTCTTACATTTGGAAGAGGCGGGCTGCCCAGAGAAGTCCCCAACGAAAAGGAGCTGGGTCTCCATTGTCCCCTCTGAAACCCAAAGACTTTGGGGTCCAAGTTTTCCAAGACATGCAATAAACAAAGACACACTGCAAACCAATTAACCCTCTGAGCTGTGCTTTCACTGAAGTCACTTCCAGTGAATTACCTGAATGCATAGAACACTGGCCCTTCTCTTGGGGCCAATACAGGGACTCAGCTTCCCAGCTGGCTTAGAACACCACGTCAGAGAAATGGCATGGGGGAGGCAGATGCTTCTCTTAGCCTGGGAACTCTTGTTCTCTCTTAGTGTTCGGGTATCCTAAACCATCCCTCCCAACCCTGGAGGAAACAGGGAAGAGAGCCTGGGGGTGGGCTCAAAACCCAGGTTAATTCAGGCCCAAGAAAGTATCCCCTAGTGAAGTCAACCAAAGTTTAAGAGACAGCTGAGCACTGCGGGGGGGGGGGGGGGGGGGGGCCGGAAACAGAAGACTGTGTGGAAGGCAGCCACAAAGGACCAGGACAGTCCTACTGACTCAAGTCTTCTCTTTTCCCAGCTTACAGGGGGGAAAGGAACTTCAGCTGCTTTTAGCTTATTTAATGCTCATCAATTCAGTATACCCTAGAATTTAGCTGCTCTCTGTCCCTCCAAGATAGGACCCAGGAAAAGCAGGTATGGCCTGACTTGCCTCAATCAGGCCTCCTAATTGAAGCAATGAGACAAGCAAACTATAATTCACAGTTTCCACTCTCCTCCCTCGACCCACACCTTCCCCCACCACTGGCCTCAATGAACTCCCAAATCTCCAATGTGTGATGATTCTTTGCCAGTGTGGCTCAAAGGGCTAATAAACCAGGACTTCTCAGACAGTTAGAACACAAGCTCATTCACCAACAGGAACCCGAGAATGGCCACACAACAACCTAGTGTTTCTTATAGCGATTCTTTGGGGTTTCGCCACACCCTGTTTTGTCACAGTTGAGAGCACCTGGATTCTTCCCCAGCCCCAGGCTTCCCAGGAGGCCGGGGAGCTCATGGGTGATGGCCCGCTCAATCTTCTCCAGAAAGCAGCCCCCCATGTAGGAGCACTGCTGGGACAGGAGCTTGAAACTAGAAATGGGGTTGATCCCAAAGAAGTCCTTGTAGGCCTCTCGGTTGGGAAGGTCAAATTTGCTGACGTTGGTCTTTGCCAGGATGGTCTTGAAGATATAGAATTTATCAGGATCTTCCACAATGTCCTTAAAGACCAGCTCTCCGTCACTGAAGAAGGTCATTTTGTCCTTGTACGTCTGCAGGTATCGGTCGACCAAAAGGGCGTGGATGCGAACCCGGATGGCATGCTGGCGGATGAAGGCAATCTTGTTCTCCAATCTGTTCTCGATCACCTGGTTCAGGTCTTCCAGGAGGGAGATCTCTTCCTTGAGAAACAGGTCCCGGTGAGTATCGGGCTTGTAGTCTTGTGGCCAAAAGGAGCTGACGTAGACCCTAGGGGGCTCCGTGACGTTGATGAGCGGGGCCAAGCTCCAGAAGAGAGCCCCGTAGACCCGCATGAGCATCTGAGTGGCCAGGTTGTCGGCCTTGTTCAGGATGATCCTTATCTGGGATTCACGCCCCTTCAGCTGGCGGAACAGCGTCTCCAGTTCCAGACCCACATCCAGCTTGGTTGGGTCAAAGACGACAAAGATGAGGTCAGCTCTGTCAATGAACCACTGGCACACATCGTTGAAGGGGTAACCTTTGGGAGAGGGAGCGAGAAGTCAGGCTGAGCAAGCATCAGCCCAAGCCCCTTGTGCCTCTTGCCAGAACCAAACCATCCCACAGGCTGAAGGAAATAACGGCATTAAGGATTTTCTGGCCTTCTGAAGGCTTTTAAGAATTAATTGTGTATCTCTTGCCCTTTGTCAACCTTCAACCAAGACCAGCCTGATTCTTGCTTTAATCTAAGTGAAATCCAAGGTTCCAGGGAAGCAAAATGCTCTTTTTGAAATGGAGATTTTCCTACTATCTAAAAAGATCCGGGGCAGTGGCGAAGATGTTGAAGGAAAAAAAGTCAGGGAATTAGAAGGATGTGAAAGAGAGGATCTACCAGTACTAGACTTATGGAGGTGATCACTTCTTAAGTTATATAAATGTCTACTCACTATGTTCTACACCTGAAATTAGCATAATATTGTATATCAACTGTAATTGTAAAAAAATTTTAATTAATAAAAATTAAAAAGAGAGAGGATCCATCATTTAGTGGAAAGAAATGTGAATCTGGCATAAGACCCGAGCTAGAATTGGGGCTTTGTCACCAGACAGCTGAATATTAAATGCTTCCAAGTTTTAGCATTTCAGCTATAAAATGAGAAGAACTATGAAGCCTAGGTTGATCTCAAGAGTACTATGTTGCTACAAATACAGGAAAGCACCTAACTAAAACTTCCGGTCACAAGGTAGGTGCTTAATATCTTTTCATTCCTTCAACTTCTTATTTTCAAAATGAGGAGGCTAGGAATACCTGTCTTGGAATTATTTTACAACAATCAGCCAATAACGCATAAAATTACCTAATATATACTAGGAGTAAAATAAAGGTCAATATTAGTGATAATATTATTACTAGTCATAAAACAGGGTCTGGTTATAACCAAAACAGGAGTGAGAGCCATAAACTGAGATCTATCATCTGGTCATATATTCTACAAATGCCTGTTATGACTCATCTCTGCAGATAACCCTGAGTCATGACGATACTCAGTGGCCTATGTACAGCCTGGTGCCTGCTGGGCCCAAAGTGGCACTCCCCTGTCATTTGAAGGTAGGTAGGGCTTTTGACACAGGCTTATGTTGAAGCAGGCCGCAGGCCTGGTAAAGCAGGAAGAATTAAAGGTCAGGTTCAACCCAGCCCCAGGTTAGCCAGAGGTCAAGTATACCTGGACTGAGACCCAATTAATCCAGGCCCTTGATCAGTCAGGACAGCCCGGGCCTCCTAAATGACAGCTCAGCCCCAGTGTGGACCTTGAGGAGCTACTTACAGAGAAGATCAGCTTCCTCTTGGGAAAATAATGATCACCTCCAAACCAGATCAGTCCTTGGGGAGGTAAAAGGACAAGGTACTCCACACCTAAGTGGCACCACAGTAAAACAAGTAGGGGCTGGAGGCAGAGAACACATCCCCTGGTGTTGGGCAATGCTGGCCACATTTCCTCCCCTCTGCCTGCCTACCACCCACTGTCCAAAGCTCACCCTGTGTCAGAAATGAGTGCGAATTACCTCTTTCTTGCTGTTTGCGGTTCTCAATGATGCCTGGTGTATCCACGAAAGTGACCCGCTCTAGAAGTTTGTGGGGAACCTCAATGCCAATCAGCTTTTCCAGGAAATTCTGGCCAAACTTCTCGAGGGGTGAGAAGGACCGGGTACTGTCAGCTGCCATGACAATACCCTCGATGGTTTTCAGCTTGGGCCCATGCATGATGACCGTGAACTCAGAGGTGGTAGGCTCAGCACCTGCACACATAAGCACAAGGTTAATAGGAACACAGTCATCTCCTGGGAAGAGACCTACTGCAAAGTAGGTGGGTAAGCAAGGTATTTCAGGGAGGGTTTGCCACAAGAATCAGCTACTATGTTTGCTAAGCCAGTGACTTCCCTTTTGTTAACTGTGGATGGAGATATATATATAAATTTACCACTTTAACCATTTTACGTGTACAGTTCAGTGGCATTAAGTATGACCACCATCCATCTCTAGAACTTTTTCATTACCCCAAACTGAACTGTATCCATTAAACACTAACTCCCCATTCTTAACTTCCCCAGCTCCTGGCAACAACCATTCTACTTTCTGTTTCTATGAATTTGATGACTCTAGGTGCCTCATTAAATGGAATCATATGACAATTGTTTTATTTTGCCCTGGCTGGTGTGGCCCAGTTGATTGGAGCGTTGTCCCATGTACCAAAGGGTCACGGGTTCAATTCCTGGTCAGGGCACATACCCAGGTTGTGGGTGCAATTCCCCATTGAAGCACTTATGGGAGGCAACTAATCAACATTTCTCTTTCACACAGATGTTTTTCTCTCTCTATTCCTCTCCCTTCCTCTCTCTCTAATATCAATAAAAATATATTAATAAAAAATGGTCCCCACGTTTCACCCATGTTGTAGTATGTATCAGAACTTTATTATTTGTTAAGGCTGAATAACATTTTGTTTATCCATTCATATATCGATGGATATTTGGGTTGTGTGCACCTCTTGTGTATTGTGAATAATGCTGCTACCAACATGAGTGTAGCTGCTGGTTTCTTGTATGTGATTTTCATTATTATTGATGACACATAAAAACATATAAATGTTTTGTTTTGTTTTCATAGCGATTTTTCATATGACATTGAAATACAAGAATCACACAAGAAAATCCCACCTGTATAAAGCTGGTAGCGAGTGTCTTCCAACCCGAGGAGGTAGTTTATCATGGTGGATTTGCCAACGCTCCACGGTCCCAGGAACAGCACCATTGGTTTGGAAGTGATTTCCCCATCTGTGGGCAGCAGGAGTTAGAGGTGGAAGTGAGCTAACAAGTTCCTCACTACAGGAGCGACACAGTTCTTCACACTGCATCCCAGACAGTCCATCTAATTGGGTTGTGGAATTCTACGTTGGACCAGTCAGCATGTAGCAATCAGTAGTACATCTCATGCTACGTAAGTGCAATCACCCAGTTAAAAGATACCAGAAGATACCATTTGGGCCTTGCCCAGATGCTTGGCACACTAGCACCGGAAGGAGGCACTAAGTGAAGTCAACAGGCATGGACGCAGAGCTTACTCTGCATGAGGCCTCCAGGTTTCGGTCTGGGAGAGAAGGGTTCATAAAAGGAGAGCAGAGAGCTACCACAGAGCAAGGAGCTGTGAAAACTCTGCTCTCTGGATTGGTAACAGAAGAAAGGGTATGAGAGGAGAAACCAAGATGGCGGCATAGGTAAACACCTGAAATTGCTGCCTCGCACAACCACTTCAAAAATACAACTAAAAGACAAAACGGACATCATCCAGAACCACAGGAAGGCTGGCTGAGTGGAAATTCTACAACTAGAAGGAAAGAGAAAAGCACACTGAGACTCAGAGGAGAAGTGAAAGTAAAGTGCAGAGGTATGGAGGTGTGCATGGAAAGGGCTGGCAACTGAGGATGCGGGTGTCTTTTTTAGTCAGGAGGGAGACACACGCTCCTGCTCTAAACTCCAGTTCCGGGCAAGTCTCTGGGGACCCAGACTCATACGGGGAGAAACTGGAACGTCTGGCAGCAAGCGGAACTCGAGGGCAGCTTTCTCTCAGAGGTGCTTGCAGCGATTACCACGGACACTGAGACCCAGGGCCTCTTAGGGCAGGACTGAGGATCAACAACTGTTGATGAGAGAAACAACTGTTTGCTCCGCCCTGTTGATTTCCCCGAGAAGCTGCCCCACCCAAGCTGTGTGCAGAGGCTTTTGCATATGAATGGCCTGGCCCTTTGCAATCTAAAATTACCTAACAAACTGCAGCTGGGTCAGAGAGACCCAGAACATCCAAAAGAAGGCCCAAGGCCCCACAGCAGTTTGCATTGCTTCACAGCTGGGCCTCATCTGGGCACCTCCAAACCCCAAACAAAGAAGAGGAATCTGCAGATCTCTCTGTAGCTCCTGCTGGGTAGCCTCGGGCAGAGGCTAAATTAGCACCTCCTTAGAGATCCAAGAACCAGTGTACCCAGTGGTCAGAGTGGGACCATCCAGATTACAACTCCTCAGATCCATAAGGGATACACTCAGGGGCAGACTCAGTGAGCACCAAAGCCCCACTGAAGCAAGTCTTGCTCCATAAGGGTGTCTTCAGCACAGAAGTTCTCCCACCATAGACACAGATGATTCTCACAGCCAATTGGCCTGGAGGTCAATTCCTCCCAGTGATACCAACTACAATCAAGGCTTAACTACAACAAGACTGTGCACAAAGAGAGTGTCCACCTCAGGTAATTGGGGAGGCTGAGCCACTGGGCCCTATAGGACACCTAGCACAGAAAGCCACTCTATCAACACAGGGAAGCAGCCAAAATGCGGAGACAAAGAAACAGGTCACAAATGACAGAAATGGAGGAAAGCAAACTACTGGATAAAGAGTTCAAAACCACGGTTATAAGGTTTTTCAAGAATTTTCTAGAAACTGCCGATAAATTTAGTAAGACCCTCAATAAATCTAGTGAGACCCTCGAGAATATGAAAAAGGACCAACTAGAAATTAAGCATACACTGACTGAAATAAAGAATATTATACAGAGATCCAACAGCAGACTAGAGCAGTGATGGCAAACCTTTTGAGCTTGGAGTGTCAGCATTTTGAAAAACCCTAACTTAACTCTGGTGCCGTGTCACATATAAAAATTTTTTTATATTTGCAACCACACTAAAACAAAGATTTATATTTTTGATATTTATTTTATATATTTAAATGCCATTTAACAAAGAAAAATCAATCAAAAAAATGAGTTCATGTGTCACCTCTGACACGCGTGTCATAGGTTCACCATCACTGGACTAGAGGATCGCAAGAATCAAGTCAAAGATTTTAAATACAAAGAAGTAAAAGACACCCAACCGGAAAAGCAAAAAGAAAAAAGAGTCCAAAAATATGAAGATAGTGTAAGGAGCCTCTGGGACAACTTCAAGCAAACCAACATCCAAATCATGGGAGTGCCAAAAGAAGAGAGAAAGCAAGATATTGAAAACCTATTTGAAGAAATAATGACAGAAAACTTCCCCTACCTGGTGAAAGAAATAGACTTACAAGTCCTGGAAGTGCAGAGAACCCCAAACAAAAGGAATCCAAAGAGGACCACACCAAGACACATCATAATTAAAATGCCAAGAGCAAAAGGCAAAGAGAGAATCTTAAAAGCAGCAAGAGAAAAAAAGTCAGTTACCTACAAGGGAGTACCCATACGACTGTCAGCTGATTTCTCAACAGAAACAATGCAGGCCAGAAGAGAGTGGCAAGAAATATTCAAAGTGATGAATACCAAGAACCTACAACCAAGATTACTTTATCCAGCAAAGTTATCATTCAGAATTGAAGGTCAGATAAAGAGCTTCACAGATAAGAAAAAGCTAAAGGAGTTCATCACCACCAAACCAGTATTATATGAAATGCTGAACGGTATTCTTTAAGAAGAGGAAGAAGAAGAAAAAGGGAAAGATAAAAATGATGAACAACAAATACACATCTATCAACAAGTGAATCTAAAAATCAAGTGAATAAAAAATCTGATGAACAATAAACTGGTGAATATAATAGAATCAGGGGCATAGAAAAGGAGTGGACTGACAATTCTCAGGGGGAAAGGGGTGTGGGGGTGCGGGAAGAGACTGGACAAAAATGAACACCTATGGATGAGGACAGTGGCGGGGGCGGGTAAGGGCAGAGGGTGGGGTGGGAACTGGGTGGAGGGAGCTATGAGGGGGGAAAAGAGAAACAACTGTAATAATCTGAACAATAAAGTTTTTTTTTTAAAGGGTACAATTTTAGGCGGCCTGGACGCTGACATTGCCTGTCCCAGCCTCCCTCTCCTTAGCTGCACCTCTTGAAATCCCATCTCAGACTCAGCCCCACCCTGGGCTCTGGGGCCAGTCTCAAATATTAGCCTCCGAAGTTCATGACATATTTGCCAGGTCCCAAGACCAAGTACTGACTAGGCAATTCTTGGGTTCTTGGGTCCTGTGTCCGATGTTGGAGAGAATACTGTGCACAGGCCACTCTAGTTGTGGTCGCTAGAAGAAAAAGCAGAATTCTCCAATGCTTTCAAAACCGGGGGATGCGGCCACCCTGTGCCGGCCCCAGCTCTTTCAACCCTTCTCTGAACCAAAGAGGGTCAGCCCTGCATAATTTAGTGCCTAAAATTCTCCAGACTTCTTTATCTCCCTGAGCCTGCAGATAGATAGGCCTCCAAACAGCAGTCGCTCCGTTTATTTTTTTCTGTTTTAACTTATTTAATGTCTTGGTTCAAAAATCAAAGTATAAAGCCCAACTGGAGTGGCTCAGTTGGTAGAGCATTGTCCTATGCCCCAAAAGGTTGCTGGTTCAATTCCCAGAAAGCAAAAGATGTTTCTCTCTTACATCAATGTTTCTCTCTTCCTCTCTCTCTCTCTTCTCTCTCTCTCTCTCTCTCTCTCTCTCTCTCTCTCTCTCTCTCTCTCCCCCCCCCCTTTCCTCTCTCTAAGCATGTCCTCAGGTGAGGATTTTTTTAAAAATCAAAGTATAAAAAGGCACACAAGTGAGAAGTCTCACATTCCTGTCCCCAATCTGTCTAGACCAGGGGTAGGGAACCTTTTTTCTGCCAAGGGCCATTTGGATATTTATAACATCATCTCGGGCCATACAAAATTATCAACTTAAAAAATTAGCCTGCTACATATATTTGGTCAAACATTTAATTAACTCACCCCTAATGCCTTGGCAGGGCCAGACCAAATTATTTTGCAGGCCTTATATGGCCCGCAGGCCAGACGTTCCCCACCCCTGGCCTAGACCCCCTACATACTCTTTCAGATATTTCCTTGCATATATAAGCAATACTCGTAGAAAACATATTCCTCATCTTTTTTATAGAAAGAGGAGTAGGGTATTCTTTTTCTGTACCTTGCTTTTTTTTTTTTTAATTCTCACTTGAGGATATATTTCCATTGATTTTGAGAGAGAAACATCGATTGGTTGCCTCCCATACACGCCCTGACCAGAAATCAAACCAAAAACCTTTCGGTGCATGGTATGACACTCCTACCAACTGAGCCACCCAGCCAGGGCTGCACCTCCTACTTGATGCACTAGTTTTCTTTCTCTAAGGTGAAACCAATCCTAGAAGACCAAGATGGTATCTCGTAAGGGGTGGGCACATATATATTGCCGGAAAGCAACACCATGGCCCTGCCCCATGAGTTGCTGGCATCTTTGTGGGCATCAACCCCTGGCTTGGGGACAGGAAGGGATAGGCAGGCTGAGGGGATGGCAGGAATCCCCAGTGATAACCTAAGATCCTACAAAAAGTCTATTTTACCCCAGCCCAGGCCAGGGACCTTCAGCCCGCAGCTGAGACCAACCACCACCAGGGCTCTCCCCGGCTGAGGTTTCAGCCCTCCCTCTGCAGCAGCGGGCATTACTAGCACATGAAGGAGGCTACAGGTGAGACACTGAGAGCAGAAGTTGTGCGGGAGACTGCCCAAGGGCCCGGGGGAGTCCCAGCTCCGGTGGGAGAGGAGGGAAGGGGAGCCAAGTCTGGAAAATGAGCTCAGGAGTCAGGATGCCCTCCCTGCAGAGCGCTATTCCTGGGGCAGCGGGGGCGCCAAACTGCCAGCTCTGAAGGCTGCAGGAGAAGGCGGGAGTGGAGGGCAGGGAAGCAACTGGGAGACGGTGACCTCACAACACCTGCACTTTCTCTATGAAGCCAAAGAGGATCGGTTGGCTCTTAGGCTTGCAAGAAACAATAGAGCCTGGCCATTGTGGCTCAGTTGGTTGAGCGTTGTCCCATGTACCAGGTCATGGGTTCAATTCCCTGTCAGGGCACATTCCCGGGTTTCAGGTTCGATTCCCAGTAGGGGTGTGCATGAAGCAGTCGATTGATGTTTCACTCTCTCCCTCTCCCTCGCTCTCTCTAAAAGCAATAAAAAACATATTTTTAAAAAAGAAACAATAGACATCACTGTGCAAACAGGGTGTTCTCTCGGAGAAGGAGAGAGTTATAGCCCCTAGTTCCAGCCATGTGATCTCTGGGCATCCAGTTCCTCTTCTGGAAAGCAGGAATAAGGTATACTCTATATCATATCCACTTTATAACTATCAAGAGCATCACATGAGATATGCAGAAGCAGCCAAGCCCAGCAGGCATGACTCAGTGGTTGAGTGTCAACCTATGAACCAGCAGGTCACAGTTTGGTTCTAGGTCAGGGCACATGCCTGGGTTGCAGGTTCGATCCCCAGTGGGGCGGGCAGGAGGCAGCTGATCAATGATTCTCTCTCATCATTGATGTTTCTGTTTCTCTCCCTCTCCCTTCCTCTCTGAAATCAATAAAGATCTTTTTTAATAACATACAGAAATGTCCAGTTAACACAGAAAAATGTTTAATGGCACTCACCATTGAGACAACAGGTAGATATCATTATTAAAGTTTTCAAAGATGCATAGCACTTTAAAAAGACATCGCTACGGGGGAACAAGAGCTCTCATATCCTGTCATGATGGGTACAAATTGGTACAACCTAAGGCAATTTAGCAACAACTATCAAAATGTTTAATTTCCAGTGTTCTACTTGTAAAAATTTATCGTACAAATGTAGTTGCATGAAATATGTAACAATTATAGTAGTGCTTGGAATATTTTTTTTTTAATTGAAAATGTCAAATACCCTGCTTTCCAGCAGCCAGTGCAGTGCATCCATGCAACTATCTGAAAGGGCAAGAGTAGCTACACACACAGAGAGTTTTGTGAGATAATCCCATCTTTGTAAAACAAACAGGAAAAGACATACTTGTGCCCAGCTGGTGTGGCTCAGTGGTTGAGTGTCGACCTATGAACCAGGAGGTCACCGTTTGATTCCAGTCAGGGCACATGCCAGGTTTTCAGGCTCAGTCCCCAGTAGGAGGCATGCAGAAGGCAGCCAGGCAATGATTCTTTCTCATCATTGATGTTTCTATCTCTCTCCCCCTCTCCCTTCCTCTCTAAAATCAATAAAAATATTTCTTTAAAAGACATGCTTGTATAAGCTCACATATGCAGAGAAACTATATTCATGAGGAACTATAATAGTGGGAGCCTCGGGGAGTGGAATTAGAGGTGTTGGAAATCAAGAAAGGGGTTTTGTTTTTCAATGTATACTATTTTACACTATTTTAATTTGGGAAGTTTTTGTTGTTGTTGTTGTTTGCAACAAGTATACCCCATTTCATTATTTTGAGAATCAATTTTTAAAATAATCCAGACCTGAGGGAAGCTGACCAGGAGGAGTGAACAGGAGGAGGGAAGGATTCCAGGCCAATCAGGGGACTTAAGACATGCTCAGTAAGTGAATAGGGAGCTTTTTGGGCCCTTACGCACATGAGGGGTAGAAGCTGGCATCACTACCCTTGGAACCCAAAACTGCACTACTGAAGCATGAGTGCTTACAAATGAAATGTTTCCGGAAAACTCTGTGCAAATTATGGGGTACTCTTGCAGGGAAAGGATGAGTCATGTGCCTGGGGTCTCCAAGAACTTAGGAGAGCTCAGGGCCAGTGTCCTCGAGCCGCCACACAAAGAGCTCGGGAACCTCGTGCGCATGGGGGAGTGTGGACAGGTTGGAGGTACAGACCGGACTTGGGACACTGTACCTGTGATCTCGTGCTGCCGAAGCTCATTGTATTTGTACGACTGCTCCAGGGGCTTGATGGACGAATGGTAGATCTTTCGAAGCCGCTGCAGCACCGCTGTGGACAGAGGAGGGTGAGGGAGGGGGACGTCAGGTAGGGCGCACTCCAGACTGCTGACCACTGTGGACCAGGCCCCTTCCAGGGTAGCTCTAGCCCTGCCTAGTGGGGAGCAGGGAACATCTGCAGCCCAGCAACTGTCCATACATTAGCATTCAAGGAGGGGCTGGTCCACATCTCAACCCTCAGAAATCTATAAACCTAAGGCGTTCCCTCCCCATCCCCTAAAGCTGCCTTTCTTTTTAATCTAACCCTCTCCGCCCTCCCTCTTCAGTCCCGTGCCCTGAAGCACCACCTCAGCCTTCAGGTAACTGAAGGCCCTTTCCATGGCAGAGAGGAACCCCTCTCCTCTCTGCCTCCACCTCTACTTGTGTTTGCCTTAGACTCAGACGGCAAGGAGGTATGGCTCTAAGCAGCCCGCAGGGCAGGACAGCCACCCTGCCCTCTACCCTTTCACTGGTCCCTCTGCTTGGATTGCCTTTCCCCCTTCCTGCCAACCCAGAGCCCCAAGGCCTTGGACGGTACCCCCTCCCCCGCCCTCCCCGCAGAGGATGCAGACATCCCAAGCACCTTGTTGGGAAGAACATGACTCCAGGGAGAGGTGACTCACAGGCAGAGGCTGGGAGCTCAAAGGTGGTGAAGCAGAGTGTGAGGCACAAAAGGGGGGGAAGAGGGCCTGACCCTGCCTGCTCTGAGCTTTCAATGACTCAACTAAGAGGAGACAGTAAGCTCCGCGGAAAGCTTGGGTTATTATGAGGGTGAAATGAAATACTGGGCACGAAAGGGCTTTGTAAACTGTAAAAAACCAAAGCAAACGTGATGAACTCTATTAACGCCCCTCCCCAGCCACAGTGGAAGCTGGCACCATCTCAGACACGGCACTGGGTTCGTCCTTTACCCTCTCGCTGATCCCATTGCTTGAGTTGCCTTCCCTCCTCCCTGCCAATCCAGAGCCCCCAGGCCTGGATGCTGCTGGCAGAGTCTCCTCCACGAAGCCCCCCACCTCCAGGCTTTCCTCCCTGGGGTGACCGCTGGCCTCAGAGCCCCCGCCCCAAGGCCTCCCAGCCCCAGCCCCAGGCCCCGGGCCCTCTCCCTCTGGTTACCAGAGTAATCGTCCGCTGGCTTGTCCTCGACCAGCATCAGCGTTTTCTCGATGTGGGAGCGATCCCTCAGTGGGGCTTCTTCACTCACATCCTCGGCCTCTTCTGCGGACAGAAGCAGAGAGCAGGGTTAGAGCGAAGCTACGAGCCAGCTGGGCTCTAAGCCCCCAGACATGGACAAGGGCAGGGTCTGAGGAAGTGCTGACAGAAAGTTTGCCACGTTCAACTGAATGGAGTTCTGTCTCTAGGAAGAACTTTGAAAATCCCAACTCAACATCTGCGAAGCTCTGTGGCCCAGTTTATGTATTCAGCAAATGTCGCTTGAGCAGGTGTGATGTGCCAAGCACTGAGCATTGTGCTGGGAATACGGAGGTGCCCAAAACAGACACAGCTCCTGACTGTGTGGCAATTTCTTACAGTCTAGTGGGGCATGGGGAGAAATCATCTTAAAAGTAATGTAATCATCATAAACAGGAATGTGGCCATAGAAGGGAAGATTCCAGATGCTGTGAGGGCCTAAGAAGTGTGTCTGGGAAGTCTTAGGCAGGGGATGAAAAAACTTCCCAGAAGGGCCACTTATGAGCTAC